GAGGTAGGACCTATTTATAGTTTGGCCTTAATCAAAAACAGACGTTTGCGGTAAGTGCTACTTGACATTGTATTCCCAACGTACAGAATCTCATATAGAGAATGAAGATTATATATGTTTAAGGCGCAGTAACGTGTGTTAAGTAGTTTTGCATGCGCAGATATTCACTGTGAAAGTTAAGTCTTCCATGATCACACACAGTACCATCAAACACAAGTTGCCGTCCTTTGTTAACAGTCAACAACATCATGTTTAACCCTCCTCTTGAGGGTCAAAAGGTTATCAGACACTTACTCTTCGCACGTCAGTGGAAGCACATTTCATGTCCTTTCAATAAATGATAAAAATGGATAGGTCAGTGCTGAAACAAAAAGTTTTGTTACTCGTGTCCATTAGGCCATGTCCTCAGAAAATGTCTGATATCTGACCTTTGACTGTGACCTCTCAATTTCCACTGGTGATTGCGGTTGTCCTGACCATCACACATATTTACACCGATATTAAACAGCATAGCTCGAGCTGTCAGATTTGCTGCCGCAATTCGTATTTCCTCCATATACTTAAGTTAAGGGGGATATTCCCCCTCGTTGACACATCTTGACCTTTGACCTGACCCCAAATTGGTTATCCTGAGTCCTTTTCACGACCCCCCCCCCCACACGTCCCGATATTTCGTGACCATACGTTGAGCGGTTAGATTTTTGCCCAACTGTGACGGACACACGGACACACGGATCACGACGGACGCTCATGCGATTCTACAAGCTGCAATCTGACTTCGTCAGACGAGCTAAAAATATGAAACAATGAATATCAACTCCGCTGTTCTGCATTCTCTGTCCACAGGTGGCTATAGTTAAACCTCAGCCGAGTCACGTCTTGCATTTAAATGTGTCTACCCTCTCTGAAATGAGAAATATATATACATATCTAATATACCTCGGTTACAGAATAAATAGAGACTAGTTGTGGTAAGATGAAGGCAAGACAGATAAGCAACTTTGTATAGCTAGTTGCTTATATATGAATTCGGCTTACACAACAATCTTTGTATGTTTTCGCTTACGACGTCAATTTATCACAATCACTTACGTTCAGTGCAAATTTTTCGCTTCTAGCTTTTTATGGACCTTTTTGTATTCCTCTTCTTTTTCGTTTTAGATTCAACCCTTTAATACTAGATAGTTCTTTCTGAAAGAATTTTATGTTGCTCGAGCAATTCATCATACTCTTTTTGGACGCTATCATGTTGATCCTAAAAATGCATTGATATATGCAAATAAAGATGTGTCCAACATCACATTAAAGGTGTGCTTCTTATCACATGTATGATGCAGATATGAAAACACTTTACCTTTAATATGGAGTAACATTTTTATATAAAGTACATACAAAAAAGTAAATAGAGCTCTTTTACGTAAAATATATGATAAATATCAAGTAAGGAATTCACCCACCCTAAGTATTTTGTGCGTGGTCTTGATTTAGAGAGTGCGAATCTGTATTTTGTTCTTGCTGAAAATAAATTACACAATTATTCATCAATGAACTGCTTTAGTATATTTTATTACCAGCATTTCATTTACTTAATTGTAAATCAAAAGATTTGTTTCTATAAACTCAGGATAAAGTATGTATTTTTTTCTATATCGCTTGGATAATAGAATAAAAGTTTAACAATATGACTAAAAAAATATTCCAGCCGCTAGGTAAGAAACATACCTTTTTCTTTGGATAGTTGTGCGTCCGCCGAACAGCCGATGGAGCTGCAACTCTGTTTCCAAAAATTTTTATTTAATGATTATTATTTAAATTTTTGCAATGCAAGACAAAAGTAAGACATTCCAAAGGACACATATATAGTGATTGTATTATGCCAAAGAACAACTATCCATGTATCCAAATATATAGGATCAATATTTCTGTGGTAATTCCAGCAATTTCCTATAATTTGGAACTGTGGAAAATAATTAATTCTGATGTAAATATTTAATTAATTGTTGCTTGTCAACTGATGTCTCTTAGCAGCAAAACAACCTTTTGCTATCTCACAGAAAATGGCATAATGTATCAGATACATTTTCTCACCATTCTGAAAAACGATGATCATGTGAGATTTCACATCAGAGTATACTAATAAACCTTTTACCATCTTTCGTTCGTTTATGCTCCACTTTTTCCTGTAGCAGCATCTTCTCAATGTTTTTCTTGTTGTCATACACGACTGCAAAATGTAAACAAACTGGTGCCATATTTACTATTTTAAACTAATATGTGCTAAAATAATTTTCCGAGAGTGAGGCATAGAGATTGAGACAGAGACGGGTACAGAACAGGGCAAAAGACTATGTTATAAAATTGGCTACCTCATACCCTTAAACCTGCACTGTCGAAAACAACAACCAGTGCACTTTGGGACCTCAAACAAACTTAATGCACTACAAGAGTGGGTAGGGCTTTGAAGGTGGCGGGGCAATTTATCACTTTCCAACTGGTTAGCATGGGTATCGGTAACCGGTTATAACTCATGTGAGATAATTCACACACTCCGATGTCAAAACATCTATTATTATTCTTATGATTAATATTAAATATTTATTGTATATAATTCTAATACGTTCTGAAATCTTTTCTATGGAGAAAAAATCTGATGAATGCAATAGTGTTGAGCAGTTAAAATAACAAAATTTTCAGATTTCCTTGATTTTAGTGCAATATTTGTAAGGTATTGAAGGGGATTATTTCTGTTTGGTTTGTTAAGATGGTTGATGTATTTGTATATAAACATGAGTGAGTTAGCTGGTGAGTCGAGCTGAAAGACGTCCAGGCGGGTACACACACTACATGGGTCGAGCTCAAGGACCGGCGTTAGCCCCATCTTGCGTGCACCTATCTTTTGAAAATCTAACCTAGATTAAATTGCACCAACAGCGAACAGCCATGGCACTGTGCTGATTACATTCCAAAATCATCACGAATAAATTTAATGAAAATGGTATTTTAATGCACACCAGGCAATTTCTGTCCTCTTCCAAGCCCATGCAAGCACACTTCCACATCGAATCGAATTTGGCTTTGGGTCTCAAATTGCACTGGTCGCCTTACGAGTAGCTCTAGTAACTATAGCCAGCGTACGGTTGCCGCTGGCAAGCTAGTTGCCACTTGCCAGTGGTGCTCGTAGCGTCTATGTCCCCCAGGGTACTGCCGGAACATACCCTGGGTACGGTCCGGTATGCCGGAACGTACCCTGGTAACCATCTGATATGGTTAGGGTTAGGGAGTAGGCGTAGGCGGGTTAGGGAGTAGGCGTAGGCGACTCCCTAGACTCGTTAGTGGAGTAGGCGAAGTACGGTCCGGCATATTAGATAGTACCAGGGTACGGTCCGGTATACCACCGGACCGTACCCAGGGTATAGACCCTCTCAGCGCCAGTGGCCAGTAACCGTTGCCAGCGGCAACCGTACGCGGGCTATAGTTACTACTTTACGAGATACCAGTTGTCGGCTACATGGTACCCATGAAGTCTGATAGCTTGGAAAAATTACTAACAAGTGTGCCAAAAGCCCAAAGCTGTAAAGTTCTGTAAGTGTTAAGTACAAGTGAAGTGCCGGTAACACACTGAGTCCACTGGCAGCAGGAACAAGCCCACACGTACAGCACACACGCGACCATTGACTATAATAACAACATGGTGCCTAAAGCATAACGCACACACCCGAGCAAAATACCTGAACGTGGAGCAAAACATGTTTCGCTCGATGTTCGTGGCTGTGTGCGGATTCCCGAAACAAAAAACATTGCTCAGCTGAGCGCGTTTCGCTGAAGAAGTTTAGACTTGACAATGCTCATTTTAGAGAATGTTCGTTCAGCAGATGCAGAAGTAACAGGAATTGTGGCCAGTCCTGTGAAGACGCGTGAGAGGCAAGGAAAAATATTTTTTTTGTTTTGTTTGCCAATCAACAGGGGGGGCCATGGCCCCCTTATGCCCCCCCTTAGCTACGCCAGTGCCTCTCAGCCTCACTGGGAGACGCCATCCCATCTTTCTTCCCGAAGTACCCGGATGCACAGCTCACCACTCTCACATCGCATGCGCCACACATAAACCGGATGTTCCATTGTTTCATGTAACATTAACAAAGATTAAAGTCACGATAATTCTATATACAAGATGCGTTTATTTTTTATGAAGACTAGCAAAACCATCCAAACGCAATCCAAGTAAATATACACTATATACAGACACATTTTAAGGCCTTGTATTTGAGCAGCTAAGTGAAACCTGCAGACAGGACGTGTGCGCTATTAAGCACCATACCAAAATTACATGAGGGCACACAAACAATACAACGTTTTCTCGTTATCAATAAAAGCCAACCTTACCAAAAGTTAAATTGCATTGAAATTAATTAACAAACAGCCGAAGCTTTAACACATAATACGCATATCGTCGGCTGTGAAACAAGAAGAGCTAAATACATTATCACATACATCTGCAATCATCTCATTCATTAACGACCTCACTAGCTTTCAATTCCTTGTTTTACTTATGTGTTAATACATTGTATATTCTTATGACAAACGTTTTTCTGCTTGGTCATTGCACACAGCCACACACGTATTTAAAAAGCCATGAAATCAACTTCTAATGAGCAATCACTTGTTGATAACAGTAATAGCAGGAGAAAATACAAACAAATTTGTTGTTATTCACTCATGGGAATATTAGTATTAATTTATGGTAACAAAGTTGGGTACGTATACGTCTTCTTAATTTCACAGTAAAAATATCTGTAAGGATATAGGAAATGCAAGTTCGTATTCACTTCTTCCGGTTTCCACCTAGCAGTAACAAATAGCAAGTGACATCACCATACATGGAACCACTGCTGCCACATAGTGGCAGCGACTGCTGGATGATATCACCTCGCACAGACCCACTGCTGCCATCTAGCGGTAACAAGTGGCAGTTTATTGCTAAAACAGCTGGTAACATCCAGCCATTACGCATGCCTGACAGGCCCAGCCTCTCCCTCATCCTCCTCCTCTTCCTCCTCCTCCGCCACCTTCCCCACGTTTCCGTCGGCCAACTTCTGATCGATGATCCTTCCCCTTTCGTCTCCCGCGGGCCGTGGCTCCCACGCGGGTTTCCCCTCCACATGAGAGTCTATCGGGATCTCCCTGCCCCCGCCGTCCTGCCCTCCTCCACCCTCCGCCCGTACAGCCGCCTCCCCCCGCTCCTCACCCTCCGCCCGTACAGCCGCCTCCCCCCGCTCCTCACCTCCCTGCCTCGCCGCGTCCGCTCCGTCGGCCCCCGCCCGGCTCGCCCCCGGCTGTTCCATCGCGCCACCGCCGCCTGCCTTCGCTACGTCCGGGTGCCGCTCGTCGTTGCCGCGGCTACGCAGCACCCGCGCGATTGCGACCTTGGTGTCGGCGCCAATGCCACGGCTCTTCAGCTGTTTCAGCGAGGCGCGTATCGTCTGTATCTTCGCGTGAAGCTCGCCGATATTACCACCACCGCCGCCATGATGGTCGCTCCACTGCTGCGGCACGGCCGGCGCGGCCGGCGCCAGAGGCTCCATCCACAGGCCCGCGGCGCCACCTGGCGGGTTCTGCATGGCTCCGTCCCCCGCGCTCAACACCACGGCCCCACCTAGCGGTTTCTGCCCCGCCGCGGCCCCCGCGCTGAGCACCGCAGCGCCACCTGGTGGGTTCTGCGCTGCGGCGGGGGCGGCGCGACCTCCGCGGACGTCCCACTTGGGTTGCTCATGCTCTGCGAGGTCGACGCGCCACTGCGGCGGCGAGGTGGGCGGGGATCGGACCGGCACGCCCCCCGCCCGCAGCGGCGGCGGACGACTTTGGACGGCGAGGGGTTGCGACCCCGGGTTGTTCGGCAGCGGCGGCGGCAGCGGGCGTCCTCGCGCGAGCGCTGCCGTATCCATGACGACGTCGTCAGACCTGCAAGCGACAACACGGACTCGACGGTGAAGTGCGCTCGCGAGAGCTGTCGCTCAACACCAGGGGGCGCTGTCAGAAAGGTATGAACATCAGGCCGTGCAAGCGATTTGGGGACACGATGCCAGGAACAATATTTTGCCGCAGATTTTTTATGTGGATTTAAAACTAGATTATTCTGAAAACAATTTGGGATAAAAATATATTGATATTGCGGAATCTTGGAACCAACTGTCGTCCTGAAAACACCTGACTCGATCCCAGGACAATCAAACACCAAAGATTTTGCCTTTTCCGAATACGCGTCTGCCGATGGATATAGCCTAATGAAAACCCAACACCGGTACGACGCGAACCAGAGTATGAAAACGTTTTGTAATACTACCTGGGATGTGGCAACCCACGCGGCTGGTAAGCGGGTGTTGGTGGTCCGTTACCCTACAGGAAACATACGGAGCAGTTAGCATAGCGAGAAGTAAACGCAGAACTATTGTGCGAGATTCAAACCAGAAGTGGTGAGAAATAATGTTAACAAATTTATTTATTAGTAGAAAACAGGAAATAACGGGTGCATGCAGCAATGTACAGTCACATAGGTTAGCAGACACGAGTTATATGTATGAAGATTTGGCATAAAGAGATTTCATTCTGATCAACAGCCACCGGGTTAGAGGAAGGTTATGCACATATCGTACAGCTGTATACAACAGTGATACAACATTTTACTAATTGTCAAATAAATTACCGCTGTTCAACAAATGGCATCGTTAAAGATGACACTTTGATGTCGTACACAATCTGAACAAAGTTACACAATTCCTACTCATATGCTGCACATTATTTGAATTCAGTATAGAGATGGAACGTTTCGTAAGTAAAACGAATCGAAACCACATAAAGATTGTTAGTTTGTGTGAAGTAAAATGGTAACAGAAACCAGACATTGTCACGTAATGACCTTCAACAGGCACCAATGTCAGATCTATGACGAAGTGGAAATCACTCTCTGTACTAATTATAATCCTAAGTACTAATTAACACCGTGGCACATGCACAAATATCACCGGCTGTAATTAAAATTATCTACACAGAATTCTACGTTCACGACGAATTCTTAGTTCATGACTACAACCAAAACACAGCACCCAAGCATCTATCACAGATTCCTACATCTATCTAAACAATGGTATATATGTAAAATAGCAATTTATATTATGTTAGGCTTATCACATACTACTGTATTATTTGATACATGGGCTCCAGTTACATACTATCAAGTCTTACAATATGTTTACAATTTCTATTAAACTAGAGTCACAAATGTTCTTTATTTGGCACAAGTAATTTCATCTCATCTTCTTCTCATCATTGGCAAGTACATTTTCGAATAATCCACCTACTTTGGATTGTTGCAGTTCCACAAGCATACTAAACTATGTTGATTGCTCGTTGATAGTATTAATAGAACTAAACTATTACTTATTGTGCTTAATAATAATAATAATAACAATAACAACAATAATAATAATCACTATGAGTACAGCTGAGAGGGTCTATGTCCCCCGGGGTACTGCCAGAACGTACCCTGTGTACGGTCCGGTATACCGGAACGTACCCTGGTACTATCTAATATGCCGGACCGTACCTCACCTACTCCACTAACGAGTCTAGGGAGTCGCCTACGCCTACTCCCTAACCCTAACCCTAACCATATCAGATAGTTACAAGGGTAAGTTCCGGCAGTACCCTACGGGACATAGACCCTATGAGCATGAGTATAATCTGATCTAACTATTATGCTTATTCAGGTAATTATAGTGCCACCTATATTACACAACTTTATGTTAGCGATGTACATGACAGTGAGCACTCGCTTGCACTAGTCGGTAGCAATTCACCGACATTTCATTGTTTATTGTTTAAACTTTTCATTCGTGATAACCTGATTTAACTGCTGCATAGATGATGTTTGCTGGTATGACAATGGATATCTGTTTGCATATCTAGTTACAATCTCACCGGCTCATAGCTACAGTAACATGAGATGATAACCACCCCTCCCAGCACCACTCACCCTTTCCTACGGGTCATTAGTGAAGCTGCCATGGTAACAGCTGCACCGAAGAAGATTTCAGGCTAATAGTAATAAATACATCTGCGGCTCTACATGCATAGTCTCTCTTTTACACCGCAATGACGGAGTAGTAAGGTCAGCTAAGTTAACTGCCTCCTTGCACTGACCGCTCTACTACTGAGTGACCCATTTCAATGCTATTTTTCTCGCACGCAATGTACGTTGACCGAGAAGGAGACTGGGCTTAGCTTATCATGCAGGAAATGCCGGATATTGTCTGAAATCCGACACACTATAACATGCCTAACAGCTGTATTCTCTTTCACAAATATTAGAATATTATACAATTGTGGGTACATTAAAAATTCTTTAATTTTTGGTTTTATATTCACCCAATGTTTTCAATTGAATTTTTTTTTACAAATTTCACACGGTATTGGGCATCAATAACATATAGTATACTTTTTCACAGATTAGACATTTCGATAGCAGGTTTTTCATAAGCATTGGGCCTGCTCTACTTTCAAATACCCATTACTCATTACTTTTAATAACTCTACCAGACCTATATATAGACAAAAATGGCTGAACAGCCCTTCTAAAAGAATTAACTATCTTATGTATTTGGACACGCCTGGTTCCTAAACAATTATTAGTGAAAGCACATGATAAGGCACGTATGGTATGAAAGTTCACATGTGCATGCAAATACGTATGATAGTGTTGCATTCTTTTGGCTCGTGCTATAGCTGCCAGTAGATATCACATTCTACATTAGGATTTCATTCAGGGCCGTAGCTACCATTAGGCAATAGGAGGCAAATGCCTCCTACAAAATTTCTTCTGGGGCCCTTAAACGGGCCCCATACCCCACGCCCTATTGGCTCGCTTCGCTCCTTGTTCTTTAACTTACAACATTTGCCTCCTACAAAATTTACCTCTGGCTATGGCCCTGAATTTTCATTAGTAATATTGTTGTGGGTAGCATATGAAAGAACAGAGGGAATGTGTTAGTGAGGTGAACCTCCATACGACATTGGTTAGTCCTTCCAACACCATCAGCCCAAAATCTGCATGAAAGCAAAAAACAATCACAGGTATTAGTCTCTCGGTTAATACGTAACTAGTTACGGAGCGAACAACCATGCATGTGTGTGCAGATAATGGTAAGGACATGTGACTGAAGTTGCATGCATTATATGAGGTTTATCATTAAATTTCGAAAATATAGATACTAGAATAAAACAGAGATTTACAATCCACAGTGTAAACCAAAGAAAGACTAATGACTATCATACTACTAAAATTCAGATAGAAACCCTTAACAGCCGTTTTTCAAAAGAGCGGTATTTTCTTAATTCATTTTATGTTCACTGCATTCATAGAGGATTATTTTCTACTCGCTTTTCATGCATTACAGCTGCAACAGCTCAGGAACGAACGCGCGCATTCATACCTCCATTTATCAACTTACCCCCTTTGGTATGTGTTCATCCTCTCCACCTTGATTAGACTCAGGCTTCTTTGTGGTCAATGGAGGCACCACTTTACTGGTCGGCTTCGTAACAACAGCCGCTGCCGGTGCCGTCTGCTTTATTTTGTTCTGGCAAATACCCACGACATTTCAGAAATGAATGCCTCATAAAAACATCTATTAACCTTGTCAAGCGAATACTTGTGTTAATCAAACATGTGCACGTTGTTAGACTGCAAGTTTATGTTAGTAGAGGCTGTGTCGAGTGAGTTTTAAGGTCGAGAATATTCCGGAGTAGAAACGATGAATAAAAGTAATTATATAATAAGATAAGATATCTAAAAAGGCTATATTTCTCTTTACCTCACAGGTTTTCAGATTTTTCTCACATACTGCCTGCTTTTGTTTGAGATCCTTGCTTTGAGACTATATTTTAAAATAAAACAATGCAGAAAATCATAAATAGTGGAAACAACCTCAAACATTTACAGAGAATCCAACCAGAAAAGCATGAATCAAAGTTGTGACTTCCAACTATTAGCTCCAAACTAAACCATTTTTATAAAATCATTTTGCAGGAACTCGACAATTTATAACAACAAGAGCCGCAGAGCGACTGGGCTCATCTGAGGTCTGTTGCTACGGTTATAAACGTAACATTTCAGTCGTACGTAGTGACACCTTTGTTAGGCGCAGATATGCAGATCTGCAGTTGCGTACACATCATTTCAGCAAAGATTTTTTTTATTGCAGAGAGAGAGCGAAAGAGAGAAAGATAGCGAGAGAGAGAGAGAGAGCGGACGAGAGGAGAGAGAGGGAGAAAGTCAGTCAGACTAAATAGTTTATAAACAAATAACACCCACGCGGCGCGCTACTGTATCAGTTACGTCATCGATTGAAATGTACATTCCGATTTCGTCGCGCGGCGTCCAAACTTTCGACGAAGATGGCGGGTAGAGGTAAGGCAGACGCACGTATAACATACAGATTTCTTCAATGTCGGGGGGGATCAACACATTTCAACTGACAGTCAACCATCGGGCTCTGCAGCGTCCACAAGCCAGCATGCTCCACCATATCCCGACATTGCACACTACTGTAACGTCGACGGAGAGAGCCATGCCAAGGACAGTACAAAACTGGCAACTTTTCATTGGTAGGTTTGACGATTCATTTCTGCAATTACTTATCTCAAGATTGGTTAAACTAAAGTTAAGAAAGTAATTCTTTCTGCACTTTTGAGCGCAATATACATTTGACCTATCCTGCCGGGACATTCTTCTCACTCTGTTCCGATAGATAGCGTGCATACGGACTAGGTGCAGGGAATAGATATTCCGAACTAGTTGCTACCTTCGTTTAGCCCATGCTGTGCACCTGTACTATCAGCTACCCACCTGCGAGGTAGACCTATTTATAGTTGGCCTTAATCAAAAACAGACGTTTGCGTAAGTGCTATTGACATTGAATTCCCCCCCCAACGTACAGAATCTCATATACACAGTTCAACACACTTCAGACCTTTGTTAACAGACAACAAATCCATGTTTAACCCTTCTCTTGAGGGTCAACGGGTTATGAGACACTTACTCTTCGCACATCAGTGGAAAGCACATTTCATGGTCCTTTCAATAAAGTGATAAAAATGGTAGGTCAGCGTTGAAACAAAAAAGTTTTTCACTGTCCATTAGGCCATGTCCTCAGAAAATGTCTGATATCTGACCTTTGACCTGTGACCTCCAATTTCGCACTGGTGATGGGTTTCCTGCCCATCACACTATACATCGAATATTAACAGCATAGCTCGAGCTGTTCAGATTTGTGCCGCAATTCCGTATTTCCTCCTATACCTTAAGTTAAGGAGGAGATATTTTCCCTCCGTTGACACATCTTGACCTTTGACCCTTGACACCCAAATTGGTTATCCCGAGTCCTTTTCACGACCCCCCCCCCACGTCCCGAATATCGTGACCCTACGTTGAGCGGTTAAGATTTGTGCCCAACTGTTGACGGACACACGGACACACCGATCACGGACGGACGCTCATGCGATTCTACAAGCTGCATCTGACTTCGTCAAATCAGCTAAAAAACTATGAAACAATGAATATCAACCTCCGCTGTTCTCATTCTCTGTCCACAGGTGGTATAGTTAAACCTCAGCCGAGTCACGTCTGCATTAGATGTGTCTACCCTCTCTGAAATGAGAAATATATATATATATCTATATACCTCCTTACAGACATAAGTG